GCGTCTAGATTGGCCACGGACGCTTTTCCGCAAAAAGTGCTTTTGCGGAAAAGCATCCTGCCAATCTAGATGTGATTTTTCCGAAAATGCTTTTAACGGAAAACTTTTCCGTTAAAAGCATTTTTGGAAAATCATGCCAGTGTAGACGTAGCCTTATTGTTTGATGTTCCTCAGTCTTAAAAAGTTTCAGAAACACTGCTATTTAGGGTGCAAAGTTTTCAGGCCCTTGGTCTTTGGTTGGCATGCCACTCCCAAGAGAATGAATCAGAGACCCCAGAAAAAAGGCCTTCACTGGCTTGGAGGTTTAGCTGAAATAAGAATAGTTTTACGGAAAGTTTGCACTGAACTTTTAAGCTACGTCTACACTGTCTCTTTTGCCAGCAGAGCGTATACTAATGAAGTGCTTATTAGCAACTTCTTGTACTTCATTTGCATATTCTCTGCCCGAGGCTGTTGGCGCAACAGGGTTTTTTTGTGCAAAAAGGAGCAGTGTTTTGCGCCAAAAAAACCTTTTGCGCAAGACCTGTATACCTCCTTTTTTGAGGCATAAGGATCTTGAGCAAAAGGGGAGTTTTGCACAAAATGGATCCTTCTACACTGCTTGTTTTTGCGCAAAAACCTCTTGCACAAAAAGCATTGGAAGAGAATATGCAAATGAAGCACGAGAAGTTGCTAATGAGCGCTTCATTTGCATTGCCTCTTCCACAAAAAAGAGGCAGTGTTGATGTAGCCTTAGTGTATTAGAACTGGCTGTGTGTTTTCTGTTTTTTTAAATTTGTAATTCACTTTGCTCTGCCTGTTTTCACTTGCGACCACTTACAGTCCACTGCTTGTACTTAATCACTTGTATTTACTATCAAGCCCAGTGTAAATCATTGTTCTCTGGTGTGTGCATCCTCCTTTCATTGTTAAAGGGCGCTTGTCTGAATGATTTCTTTGGGGTTCTGATCCCATTTGGGGAAAGGGTTTCCTGGAAGCTAGGCCTGAAACTGCCTTCCCCGCAGACCTGGAGAGGTTCAGTGTCTGCATTGCTCTTCCGGGGGCGATCTCAGCTCTGGGCCTTGGCTGGGGGGGCACCAAGAAATCTGACCCAGCAGGACTGGGTGGTGAGAAGTTCCAGAGACAAGGAGGTGAGTGTCAGTGGCTTTGGCAGCATCCCGGGAAGCAGCTCCGAGGGGTTTTCTGTGACCACCCCCCATCATACTATGTTCCTGATTAACCATACGTGGCACTTTGCACAGCACAAGGCGCTCTAAGCTCCCTTTATAGCAGGGCAGAGCAGCATTAGCCTCACTGCACAGAGAGGGAAACTGAGGCACGTGTGTGGGGAAGGGGGTGACAGGCTCACCACAAGTCACTGGCAAAACTTTGGACTAGAGATCACGTTGTAATTGCCAGGGCTCATAGCATCACAGAAGATGAGGTTTGGAAGAGTCGTCAGGAGAGTCTCTAGTTCAAGCCCATGCACAAAGCAGGACCAACCCCAACTAACCCATCCCAGCTAGGGCTTCGTCCTGTTCTAGTCACCAAACACACTCCCTCCCAGAGAGATGCCCAAATCCTTCCTTCACCACCACGTGCCAGCAAGGCGAATCCGTTTCAGCGAATGTGCCCAAACCCATCCACCCTCCCGGGAAACGTTTGCCAGGATTCCTTTGCCAGGACACCCACAGCGAAAGACACAGAGAAAGAGAAATTCCCTGCTATGGAAACCCCTTCCCCCTGGTTTAATCGGGCCTTTCCCAATCCTGCCGCATCCTGGAATCCTCATCACACCAGCCCCCTGCTTGTCTGGTCTGGTAAGATGATAAAAATACTTTCAGGGATATAGATTCTGGCCTCTCTCCTTTAGCTACAAACGCTGCCCCAGTTTATGGCTCCGCGTGTTCCCAGTGAACTGTGACGATTCTCACGCCCCCAGCTGAAGAAATTTTCCACACAGCTGGCTCAGGAAAGGATTAGAAAGGGCCCAAACCCCAGGTGGTTCAGAGCGGGAAACTGAGGCACATGGGCAGGGGGTGTGACAGGGGATGAGATTTTGGTGTCTTGTTCATCCAAAATCTTGGGCAAGTCACCAGGACTCCATTGATGCCCAGGAGTGACAGTGTTACCTGGCCCTATTCCCACCCAGAAAACAACCCTGAGTGTTTCCACTGTCTGTGAGTGATTTAAAAACAAGCAAGGAAAAAGGAAGAGTCAAACGAAGAGGGAGAAAACACTCCGTGAAACCGAGCTGAGAGGACGTGAGTACTCCAAGCCCTGAGGACTAGAATTGACATGAGGAGGAGTCAATGGATAAAGCAGCTCACAGGCGGAGGATGGGTGGGAGGAAAAGGAAAAAAATAAAAGAAAGCGCTTGGCTGGAAAGGAGGGGATTGTTCAGCCAAACTCTGCAAGTTCGATCAATCGTCATCACACTTTCAGTTGTTGTGCAGCACGGCTGACAGAGCTACAGAGGAACAGAGTCACGTCCTAGATCCTCAAAGATACCTGGCGCCAGGGTGTATGCGCAAAATTAACTTTACTAGTGTGAGATGTCCCGTTATGTGCCTCAGTTTCCCAACTGTAAAACAGAGACAATAGCCCTCCTGGACCAGATAAATGGATGAAAAAGCATGAGGCACTGTGAAGACAGTTCTTGAGCTAGATCAGTGTGTTTTTGGTGTATCTCCCTTCCAAGCCAGCGGCTTTTGACTTCCCAGCATGCATCACGGTTTGTTTCATTTAAAAAAAGCCAGTCCTTACTTAGACAGCAGATATGTTGGTAACCCTTTGGAATCTGGGCATTTGCCTGGGAGCGTTTTATTAGGGTTGATCAAACATTTTCCACCAAAACTCTTTCTGGGCGGGAGAGGGGGTGGCGTGGCTGGAAAATGGAGTTTTTGACTCAACCAAAATGTGTATGAAATGTGTCTGATTTCCTTGACAGCTTTTTTTTTTTTTTCAGTCAGAAAACTGAAAAATTTGGGTTGGAAACCAAAAGACTTTTTTAAAAAAAAAAATGTTGGTCGAATATTTTAAGTTTTTCTCTCTCCACAGAAGTCAACATGTTCCACTGGAAGTTTTGACAAACTGACAGGACAGATTTGGGGGGGTTGTGAACATTTCCCACGGAGGGTCCCTCCCCCTCCTTTTTTCAACAAGCTCTACATGTTCCAGCCCAGTCTCACACTCTAAGGGGGATCAACGTTTGGGGGAAGAGTTCCAAACCGGAGTGGGTTGACTGCCCTTTCTGGCCTCGATGGAAGTTCTGTTGCGGAGTGGAGGCTCTCATGGCTGCTCAGAGCAGGACCAGCAATGTTAAGCCCCAAATTTAGCCCAGGAGGGAAACCAGGTAAGATCTGGAGGGATTTGTTTTGTCCATGAGCTGGACCGTTAGCCAAAGAATGTGGAGTTGGAGACACATTTTCTTGGGGGTGGGATTTGTTTTGTCCATGAGCTGGACCATTAGGCAAAGAATGCGGAGTTGGATACACATTTTCTTGGGGGTGAGAGAGGTGTGGTCATGTGCAGAGGAGTGGCAGTCTTAGATGCTTTTCATAGGGACAGTCTCGCTTTAGCTTACCGGCACATGCTATCTCGCCAGGTTTTTTTTGGAGTGAGGACCGCCTAGGTCAAATGATTCTATATTCGGGTCACTAACCTTCTCCAGTGATCCCAGGAGGGACAGCAAAATTAAGAACATAAGAACGGCCATCCTGGGTCAAATGAAAGGTCCATGTAGCCCAGTATCCTGTCTTCTGAAACTGGCCAATGCCAGGTGCCCCAGACGGTATGAACAGAACAAGGAATCATTAAGTGATCCTTCCCTGTTGCCCATCCCCAGCTTCTGATAGAGAAAAGGACACCGCCCCGGCCCATCCTAGCTAATAGCCATTGATGGACTGAACTTCCAGGGAATTACCTAATTGTTTTTTAATCCCTGTTATAGTTTTAGCCGTCACAACATCCTTCGGCAAGGAGTTCCACAAGTGAATGTGGGTTGTGTGAAGAAACGCTTCCCTTTTTGTTTGTTTCAAGGCAATCGGAGCAACCACGCAGCTGTTAGAGCACTGGAAAGAGCTGAGCTTTAACGAGAAAGCTGGTCTAACCTCCACAATCATATCATTCCCCCTTGTTGCAGCTAAGAGAGAGGACTTGATTACCTACAGCCTGGGCTCTCTTTGGCATCTCTTGCTGAGACGGGCAGCCCAGAAGGGCTGTGTCTGTCCATCCAGTGGGAACGGCTCGGTGACCCGGCCCCTCCTTCCACGCGGGTCAGCTAATGGACAGCGAGTTTGAGATGTCCTTTGAGCTCATAGGCATGCTGAATATTGATGCTGGCTCCCAGCTCAGCAGGGAGATGGCCACAGTGGCAAGACTCCAAACACCCACGGACGGTTGTTAGCCAGCCACTCCACTCCCATCTGCTCCAGCCCCCCCTGTATGGCGCTTGTTTCCTGTTCTCAGATGACCTTCGTGTCAAATAATTATGCCGCCCAGTCCCTGCCATTGGCATAACAGTTGGATTTCCTGAGCGCAGAAGATTTTTATTTTTTTTCCTCCTTCTTCTGTGAGTCATTTTCAAGCAGCAGGCGAGTCAGGGCTGCTTGGAATTTCCTTTTATTTGGTTAAACAGTCGATGGGCGCTTGGGGAAATCAGAGCTACAGGTCAGGCTCCTTCCTCCCCGGCTCCCGGGCATGGCTGCAGTACAGATGCTAGAATTAAAGCCAGGGGAGCCCCCTCAGTTTCAGCGCAGAGTGTCTGATTTTGATTCCCTTTGGGAACTTTGAGACCAGACCGTGCAGTGCGGAGGGCTTATCCAGTCTCTCCCAGCTCTGAATGCTCGCCATGGTCAAGAGGCAGCATTGTGTAGTGGTTAGAGCATTGGGCAATGACTCAGCTTTCAGGCCCAACTCTGCCACTGACCTTGGGAAAGTCACTTCCCTTCTCCCTGCCTCAGTTTCCCTTCCCATCCTTTGCCTGTCTCATCTGTCTAGATCAGTGGTCTCCAAACTTACCCCATCCCTGCCCCGGCTGGAGCCAGGGTCAGCATGGACAAGACTTGGGGGTGGGTCTGAGGCCAGAAGGGGGGCTGGGGAAAAAGCCACTGCTAGGGGCTGGGACCAGGAGTCAGGGATGTGGTTATGGGTGGGACCAGAGTATAGCTGAGGATGAGGCGGGGCTAGGCGGCAACCCCTCTCCACCTCCTCTGGGGGTTGGCCCAGGCCTGGCCTCTGACTGGTATGAAAAGAGTGAATAAGGAAAAGTTATTTACTTATTCCCACAATATAAGAACTAGGGGTCACCAAATGAAATTCATAGGCAGCAGGTTTAAAACAAACAAACAGAAGATTTTCTTCACACAGAAAATAGTCAACCTGTGGAACTCCTTGCCAGAGGATGCGGTGAAGGCTAGAACTTTAACAGGATTCAAAAAAGAGCTAGATAGATTCATGGAGGTTAGGTCCCTCAGTGGCTATTAGCCAGGCCTCTATTTCTCTGGAGGTGGGTGACAGAGGAGGGATCATGTGAGGATTCCCTGTTGTGATCCCTCCCTTTGGGGGCACCTGGCATTGGCCACTGTCGGCAGACGGGATACTGGGCTGGCTGGACCTTTGGGCTGACCCAGTGCGGCTGTTCTTATGTTCTCTGAAGGTTCCTCTCGGTACAGGGGATGTAGCCAAAATATGATGGTTGCATGATGTATACCTATGAGGGGGAACCTGGGCTAGCGAGCGGGCCACACGCGTGGCCCCCTGGCATCTCAGGGGGCTGCACGATTGTCGGAACCAAGATGGTCTCCCAGGACAGGGCAGTTTCGCTCACTGTGCTCGCAAGCCTAGAATGTGCGGGGGGGCGACGGAACCGTAGCTGCCCTAGGATTGGCTGCAGAAAGTGAGCACAGTCAGTGTGGTGCACAATACGCCCACCCCTCCCTTCACCTGCCCTGGCTTCATGTGCCTGCGTGCCACTTTAGTAACGCAGGGAGGAAAAAAACCGATGCGGACGAAAACCAGCGGAATCTAGCGACGCTGTGCGTGGGCACCGACAAACAAAACGTCTCGTGGGCCACACACAGAGCCCTGAGGAGTCGCTTGCAGCCCCTGGTCCCCTGGTTGCCAGTCACTGATGTATCCGGTATCTTAGGTGTAAGGTAGAAGTAGAATACAGAACGTAGAATGTTTGGGATCATGGGATATGTTTCGCTGGGCCCTGCCAGCCGTCCCCTTTCCTAGTAGTCGAAAGGAACAGCTGTTTGTCGGCTCGCTGCTAGTCTGGACATTCCCCCTGTCGACATCAAAGCCCTTTGTCAGCAGCCCCAGTAAACCTCATTCCACGAGGCTCAGCGCGGCAGCCATGTAAATGTAAATGAAGCCGCGATCATTTAAATCGCGGTTTCATTTGCCTTTGCTGATCTGTCTAATCTACATGCCTCTGCTGACAGAGGCATGTAGTCTAGACACAGCCAGAATGTGCTGTAGTACTCCTGTGTTACAAAGAAGTAGTGTAATTCTGGTTAGTATGCATGGGCGGCGGGATAATCCAGGCAAGGGTAGGTGTTACCTTCCCAAAATTGCCTACACTGCAAAGCTGCCTGGGACGGGCTGGGGCCGTGCCGCATGGCAGCCCAGTAGCCAGGGAAGGCCATGTGGCAGCCCCAGCCAGGGCGGGGAGGTTGTTGAAGGAGCATGGTCTTGGGGGATGGGACAAGGCCTCAAGTTGAAGGGGCAGGCCTGGGGCTTGCCTTCCACAGCTGGGCTTTCACCGCCGCCCATGTTTGCGTGAGTGAAGGTTGTGTGCCTAGAAAGAGGAAAGTGTGGAGGTCATTGCCAGATCCAGATGGTCAAGGGAGGAGGGAGAGGCGTAGCTGCGCCCATTGTACCTGATGATGATAGAGGGGCCAATCGACAACCCCGAAGATGAGGCATGCACGCCCGAAAACAGAACAAGATAACACGACCTAATCAAAACCCGAATGTGGGGACTCCCAAAGTCTGTCGTCGGAAATGCTGATGGAGGTGGACGATGAGCGAAATCTTGAGATAAACACTCACTAAGGAATAATTGATTGCAACACGATGAAGCAAAACCCACAGACTTGCAGGGGGAAGAGCTACTCTCCAGATGGTGTGTTTTGCCATGGAAATTTGGATTCACCCTGCAAAGCCTCGTAGCATCAGATCGCGACCAACAGAACCTGGCTCTTCCACTAGCCGGCCACTAGATTGGTCCAAACGACAGTCTGGTAACTTGGTAACTATAACAACATTAGAACAACGTGTGTGTGTGTGTGTGTGTGTGTGTGTGGCATGTGCATGAATGAATGATATTCTGCTTTTCATGTAGGCTACATCTACACTGGCGCGTTCTCACGCAAAAACTCTTTTGCGGAAGATTTCTTCTGCAAAAACTCTTCCAGAAGAGAGCGTCTACACTGGCATGTGCTTTTGCCCAAAAGCATCCATGCCAGTGTAGATGCTCTCTTGCGCACGAAAGCTCTGATGGCCATTTTAACCATCGAGCTTTCTTGTGCAAGAAATTCATGTTGCCTGTCACCACTGGCCTCTTGCGCAAGAACAGTTGCTCAAGAGGGCTTATTCCTTGAGCGAGAGCATCATAGTTCTTGCGCAAGAAGCCCTGATTTCATACAGTAGAACGTCAGTTTACTTGCGCAAGAACACATGGCCAGTGTAGACAGGCAGCAAGTTTTTTGCGCAAGAGTGGCCGCTTTTGCGCAAGATCGCTCCAGTGTAGACACAGCCGTAGTGTTTTCAATGAACATAGCATGTTGCCTTTTCACTTAAAAAAGATCCTGCCTGTTTCTTATAAGCATAATAGGGGCATGTCACATTTGGGGAGCTCTGATTTAGACTGTAAATTCTGTGCGGACACGAGGCACTTTGGGGAATGCACATAAGTAATATTAGGTCTCTCCTTCCACAGGGAGCAGAACTATCTCAGACAGGAGTTACACTGGTTTTCCAGTCATGGCCTGAAAGTGGATTCAGATTGCTTATGAAAAGCACATGCAACTACTGCTTCACCTCACCTCCGCCCATCTCACAAGCCCCTGGACAATTCTCACAAAGGGCTGCCCCCTGGAACTGCTGTGGCAGGTGGAATGTTTTCAACACTCACCATTTCTCCCCCCCGGCCTCGTGTTGCAGGACTTTGTAACCGAATTGGGCCTCCGGTGGGCCCTGGAAGATCCGGGGTTTCTTCACATCAATGTTGAAAGACCTGCATAGCCCTAGAGAGACACAGAGCAGACAGTGTTAGTCTAATTCAAAGACCTCCACAGTTGGAGGTATCTGTAAAGACTTAGAGCAGTCTTTTTTTTTTAAGACCAAGGAACACCAATTTTTCTATGAGGGTGTGACGTAGTGGGGGTACCTGGCTGGTTTCTATGCTGTTGGCTCTGGGGTAACCCCCACTGCTGCCGTGGGTACCAGGACCCAGCAAAACAGGATGAGTCACTATGCAAACCAGTATAGCCAGACACCCCCCATGGAGAGGAACAAAGGAAGGTGGAATGCTGCCCTGGCTGGGGGGCAGGGCTGGAAGAGAGTTAGTGAGTTGCTGTCTGAGAGCATGGAGGAGGCAGCCTAGGGAAAGGGGCTGGAATTTAGGGGCCCAGTCTCCCCCATCTCAAGGGGGTCTGAGGCATCCTAGCCCAGCTCTGTGACCAGATTACATCTGTGCTGTGCTGTATCCTGGAGAGGCAATAAACTTCCTCTATTCCACCGGCTGGGGCAGTCTGTTTGTGCCATTTCGGGGTGCAGGAGACGGGGGACCCCCAACCCGCCGTCACAGAGGGATGCCAAGGATTTCTTGTTAAGCAAAAAAAAAAAAATAAACCAAGGTCAGGGGAGGAGGGGGAAGGATTGGGGGGGAAGTTATTGAGCCAAAAAAGTCACCTGCCCCTTTAAGGGCAGCCATTTTGAATTCTGTTGTCCTCCGTGGCACACCTCTGACTGCCTCGCGGCACACCAGTATACTATGGATCATAGTTTAAGAAACACCGATTTTGAGGTACCGACAAAACTCTCAATCGTTCTCCAGAATCTCAGCTTTCAAGAATCAAGTCTCCAGCTGTTATAACTGACAAGAAAAACTTAAAATATGATGCAAATCGTAAATTAGCTGAAAACTGTATTTTGTGCAGCACTGAAACGACCTGCAAATTCGGCAAATAGCGTGAGCTGAAAAAGGAAACAAAACCAAACATTTCAGACACATTTCATTTCAGAAGATCATTTGGAATTGACTCTGGAATGTTTCATGTAGCCCAAACAGGATGTTTGCGGGGGCTTTTGTTGTTGTTGTTATTTAGAGGAGAAAAAAATGGAAAAATTCCGTTTCAAGTAGGAAGTGACTACATTTGGCGAGGGATTTTTCAGTGGTGGCTGAAGATGACGCTGCATGAGTTACATGTGGGGCATATTTTTTTGTCAATGTGTTGCCCTTTTTGCCTTTCAAAGCAGATCTAATGGGAGCAGAATCAGTCAATGACTTTCCTTCCATGTACATTTTTTCATGCAATTGTTTAGTGAAATTCAGTGCAATGACCTGGAAACCAGAAAGTTTTGGTTACTTGGTTGCTTTAGTATTCCTGATCAAAGCCCCACTGCAGCAGGACTCCACATGAGAAGAAACACAAACAAAACAACCACAACAAAACCCTGTGTTTTTTAATCCTAGTGTAGACAGGACACAGACAGTTTTAACTAGTCAGTGTTTCTCAACCAGTGGTACTAGTACCTTTACGGGTACTTGAGAGAAGTCTGGGTGGTACGTCCTCACAACTGAAATTTGGAGAAAACTGAATTTTTGTTTTAAGTTTTACAATGTTTTATTATTTTTGTACTTATTACATCCTAAAATTTCATCGCCCGCCCGGCGACTATTAAGTTGATTAAACAAATGTGTTGCAACAGGAGAGGCGACTATTAAGTTGATTAAACAAATGTGTTGCAACGGGAGAGAAAAATGTTGTGTCTGACAACTGTAGGTACTGGGGATACTTACAATTTTTTTTAAAGGGGTACTTTATCAGAAAGGGTTGAGAAACACTGAACAAGTCAATTCCTGCAGCCAGCTGACAAATGTTGAAGCTACAATGGTCCCATCCACATCAGAATGTTAACGTAGTGAAAACCCATCTTTATCTCAGCAAAGAACAAGCGGGAGTAAAATGATTCCTGTCCTACAATACTAGGAGTCTAAATAGGCAAGAGAAAAAAAGTGGGGGGGGGGGGGGGGGAGGAAACTGAGGCCCAAAGAAGCAAAGGCCCTGATCCTCCAAGATAACTCCGTTGGGAATTAGGTGGCTAAATATCTTTGAGACTCTGGGCACAAGTGACGTGTCCAAAGTTGACTCTCCAGCATCTCCAAAATTATATGCTCACAATAAATCCATCTGGTCTGCTGGATGCAGGAATCTGGGGGAGATTCTAGGGACCCGAGTGTGCCAGGGCCAGGGTTAGGGTAGTCGATCACAGGGGTCCCTTCTGGACTCAGAATCTACGACTCTTATATCATGAGCTGCTGGGAGAATGGAAAGATTTGTGCACCCTGCAACCAGGTGCTAAAATACCCACGCCCCCAGCCAGGCAGCCAAAGCCCTCAAAGAAATGTTCAGACTCTTCCCAGCTTGGGTTGCTTCAGGTTACTGGCCCCAGGGAGGACACGCAAACAGCAGCTGGCAACACCCAGGGCCTAGGCTGAGTTTGTGCTGACAATTCCCTCCCCCCCAGCCACAGGAAACGTCCTTTCCCGGCCAGTTGGCAGAGCGCACTCCGCGGCTGCCCCCATCGCTGGTGCTTTTGCTTGGCGGCGGGCGAAGGTTTCGAAAAGGGGCCTGTTTTGGGCAGCCGGCCCGAGAGGCCTTCCCTAGGGCGAGGGCTCGGGGCTTGCCAAACGCCTGCCTTCTTCGGGGGTTGCGCTGAATCCTGGAAAGCAGGCCCAGGCTTGGCCCCGGCCTACCCAGCGATGGCAGGGCACCAGAATGCTAAGCAGAGACTTGTGTTTGGACTCCCTGCCGGTGACACAGATTCCCAGGCTGGAAAGGAGGGCTGTGAGATCCAGCCAGCCCGCCCGCCCCTGCCCCCATAATGGTCAGTGGAGAGACCTCTGGAGCTAGTAGGACACAAAGGGTCAGGCCAGGGGCGTGAAATACACAGGTATTTACACACACCAACCCTGGGAAGCATTAGCCTTTAAAGTGTAGACAGGGAAACTGAGGCACAGAAGGGCAGGGGAAGTGATTTACTCCAGGTCACACAAAGCTTGCCGTGGAGCTGAGACCAACACCCGCCGACGTGCCCTAGCCCTGTGATTGTTACTCTGCTAGGGTATGTCTACACTACCCCGCTAGTTCGAACTAGGGGGGTAATGTAGGCATACCGCACTTGCAAATGAAGCCCGGGATTTGAATTTCCTGGGCTTCATTTGCATAAGCGGGGAGCCGCCATTTTTAAATCCCCGCTTGTTCGAACCCCATGTAGCGCGGCTACACGGGGCTCGAACTAGGTAGTTCGGACTAGGTTCCTATTCCGAACTACCGGTACACCTCAAAAGCAAAGTGTTTCTTAAAGGGGCCATGCTGCTTAACAACTCTCCGGGTCCCTTTGTTTTGTTTTGTTTTTTTGTTCAGTATTTTTTCAGAAACCATCTGACAACCCTACTGCCTGGGCATGGATTGGCGTGACAGGGTATGCATATGCCGCACTGGGCCAGGATGGATTAATGCCCTGTGAGCGGAGGAAGTCCCGCCCAGCCACACTGGGCATGCTCCAATGGCTGAGTTAGTATAAAAGGGAACAGCTCATCTCAGTCTGGGTTGGACACTGGAGAGGAAGAACCGAGTAGAGGAGCTCCAGAGGTGGACCAGCCAGAAGCCCAGACAGCGGGAGATGGAGACTATATCGAGCCTCCAGACTCAGGAGGGGACTGGTGCTGTGGAGCCCGATGACCCCGAAACTATGTGGATCACCCCAGCGCCAGAACTGTAAGGAAGTGACCCAGGGATAGCGTGCGAGTGGTATCTCCAGCTCGCATGAGCGCTGCGTGTTGCAGTGGAATTCCTCGCTGAGTGGGATCGCCCCCCCCGCCACTGATAGGGTCCCAACCCCCTGAGATTCCAGCCATTAGGCTGTGCTTCCCTGACCCCTAGGGGCTGTGTTATGGTCTCTGGCCATTGGGCCGTGCTGCCCTGCAACTCAAGGGCTACTTTGTCGACTCTGGCCATTAGGCCGTGCGACTCAAGGACTAATTTACAGACTGTGGCCATGGGGCCACACTGCCTCGAGACGGGGCATACTTAGGACACGACAATCGGAGACACAAACCATGGGGAGTGGACCTGATAATTCAGGAGCATAGTCAGCACGGCCGTGTCCGGAGGCCCTTTGCCTGCAAAGCCTACAAGAGAACAGCAGAATCTGACAGTCTCCAGTGAAATCCCTTTTCTACCATTCAAACTAGGCCCGGTCAACAAAAACGTAGATTCAGCCCGTTTTCCATTGCAAAAAGCAGTTTTGGCAAAATATTGCATGGGACCGTGTTAATTTTGAAGACATTTTTCACTGGGAAGCTGTGGATAATCAATCAAAAAGGCCCTCTCTAAATGCCACGTTTTGCTTTCTCTTCACATTTCAACTATATTTCAGATTGTTTCGTTCTGAAGGGTGGAACAGAAAAGTCAAAGCAAAAAGCAGCCACGCTCATGGGGCAAAACATTGGAATAATCCCAAACGGAAATTTCAGAATGATGGTTTCAAGGGACCTTTTAGATTTCCACTCCCGTGGGAACAATTACAACAATGTTTCTACCCGTCCGCATTTCTCAGGGTTCAGCAATTCAGGTCCCTAGTGGGGTTGCCAGATACTATCACAAAAAATACCGAACATGGCCAGAAAAAAATTGTTGAGCAAAAAAAGAACGAAGTTGTTGAGCAAAAAACACACTAGTCAATGCGCCTTTAAATCCCCCCCACTCTCCGCACCCCCGCCAAACGTGGCAAGGGAAGAATGTTCCAAGAGGCCTTCTGTCCAAGAAAAAACAGAAAATACTGGACATTTTACATGTCTGGTATTTTCCGGGTTTTGTTTAACTACCTGACAGAGGCCACAAATACTGGACTGTCCAGGCCAATACCGGACATCTGGCAACCCTAGTCCCCAGCCAGCTCTTATAATAAGTCAGTTCAAGTCGTGGAAGCTGTTCTCAAGTTGGCGCAAAGAGATGCT